TTCTCGAAGGAATTTTCACCCATTTTTTTCTTCCGAGACAAATAGGAGGCCCAGGTGCACAAAAGCCTTCAGACTCCTGTGGGGGGCGTAGGTCTGTAAGACTCCCTCAGATCCAGATTATAACCCTTTAAACTCATCTGCTTTGTTATTTGAAAAGCAGCTGAATGCCAGAGGCTCCCAGAAAACCTCACAGTTCTGATTTGGGGCATACTCAGAAATGTCTCTTTTAATCACGTCCCAGCAGCTACCTCCCCACCTCTCTCCTGAGTCCCATCACGATCTACACAATGCTTCCTTTCAGTTGCCTCCTTTTTGGAGGCCAGTCCCAGAGGCAAGCTCAAAGTACACATCCTGGGTCACTATATTCCCGCTACACAAGAGCATGCAAACCTTTTTTGGTCATTCTTTATAGAGAGGATAACTGAGAGGACAAACAAATAGCTGTTGAGCTGTTTCAGAGGAAATAAACGGCAACTATTTGACAACAGGACCTTACCCAGGCTATTATTACATTGTATGTCAGGGCTTTAAAACAACAATACAAGTAACCTGTGGAGGAGGAAGCTTTTCTAGTGGCTGGAAACAGCTGTGGATAAACAAAATTTATGAGCAGGAGAAGATCCATTTCATGCGAGACAGAAAATCCAAACATACTTACATATTTGAGGAAAAGGTGCAATTCTTTGTGGTCTTTGGGATTGATTGTTGCTTCAAACAAAGGTACAAAGATGTTCTCCAACATCTTCCCAAAACTAGGCAGAATATTTTTTGACCTAAATATGTCACTGAAGGAGAAAAAATAGACACAGATGTGACCATTCTTTAATCAGCTAGTATTTTTCCTCCACTTTCATATTTTCTGTTATTTGTGTATATTCTACAGCTTCAGTTCTACCAGGATTCAGAAATTAAAAGTTTATGTTAGGGCAGGGATTGTCTCTGTGCTCTGTTTCCTGCACTGCCTGGCACTCTGCTTCATCCAGGCTCTGCTGAAGCTCCTGAGTGCTCCAAAAATAGAGACAGTATGCAGGGGTAGATGCTGTCTCAAGAACAGTGACCCTTCCCCTTACAGCAATCCAAGTACTAATAGGAGAGATAAGGAATCACCTCTCGTGAAAGATTCTGTTTTCCAAAGTCATAACTAGTCCAAATGAAAGTATAATGTTCTGCTTTAGTGAGCCTCTCAGAAAAGAGGGACAGTACTTCAGTGTGTCATTAAGTGCATGACTTAATCAAAGTATTGACTCCACTATGTACGTAAGAAATTGCTACGTAAGAAATTAAAGGAGAGAAACTTTCTCCCTAAGGAGAAACACACTCTGGGGGATATATGCGACCATGACAGCCTTTCTCTACTCATATTCCAACTATGCAATTTCAAAACATGTCAGCTATTAAGGCTGACAAAATTATCATGGGAGACTGTATTACAATATACAGTATTAGAAACAAAGAACCATTTAATAAAGTCCCAAAGGATGCTTAAAAACTAAGAAAAACTGATACTGATTTAGGCTTGCAAATCAATCTGGGTTGCGTTTCCGAGTTCACTGTCATTTAGTCTCTGATGTTGAGGAAGTTTGATGGTAACAGTTTTACAGAGCATTTTCTATTCCTTTACGGAATTCAAGAGTTGATTTATTTTCATTACTAAATTGTATTTTAACTTGCCTTTGAATGCAACTTAATTTCACCCAGTTGTAATTTTTGGTTTTAGTATCTTCAGACTTACAAATAATTTACAGTAGTTTTGAATAGCTTCATAAAGAGTAGATTCAAACCCCATCTCCTGTCTTCCACCCCCAGACTGTCACAAAAACTGCAGCAATGGTCAAGAATAAATATCCCAGGCTGTTGATTATACATAGAACTACAGGACAGCTCATAAAACATCTAAAAAATATCAGAAGTTAAAACAAATCATTGGTATGATTTCAAACTATTAAAATTATGAAGAGCTCCTGATTACTTACTAGATTCTGGGAACCTGAATTATCCAGCGCATGTTAGGGGAATAAACTTTATGCTTAATGAACCATTTTGCCAAGTTCAGCCATTCATCTGGAGACCGTCCATAAATGGATAAGCGGGGTTCTGTATACTGGTACTTACTTTCTTCTAGTTCACGGGCTACTTCCTATTAAGTAATAAATATATTTGCTTTAATATGGACACTGAAGATCATTTACAGCTAGTAATATATTTATCATTGTATTTTCCTCAGACCAGACATAGCTGTATTGTCACCCTTTAAAGTTAAAGGGAATCTCTTGTCTATTAATTCATTATTTTATTTTAGGCATCTAAATATTCTACTAGCAAGCTATCTCAGATAGCATTTGAGTATAACTAACTAACACTTAGATTTAAAGGACAATATTCTTGTGCAGTTATTACTAACACCTTTGTAAGACATAGGTTTAAAATTGGTAAATCAGAATTATACTATTTAAACTGTAGTAAATGACCACATAAAATATGCAGACCAATGGAGAATCTGACCCAGAATCCGTGATAGCAAGCAATTTTAAGGCTATTGATTTTAGACAAGCACTTCTATATATGTAAGAAGAGCTGACATCTAGTTCATGAAAACTACTAATTCTTTTGTTGTAAAAAATTAATTTGAAGCCTGTGCATGCATGTGCAGATACAGATTTATGCAGAGGTGCTTCCCTAGCTCCTCCTTCCCTAGCAGCTACCACTAGCCAACTACATCCTAACAAAATATTAAGCCAGTGAATTGACCCTTGGCTGCTCTCCATTAGTTTGAAACTGCACACAACTCTGCTTTGAACTCATACATAGGTTATGCATATGAGATTCTAACTCATAAAATTATTTAGAAAGCAGCAGTGGCTGACTTAGCAGAGGTCCTTCTCTGATGAATTGCTAGAGCAGGCCCAATACTTGGAATCACTTAACCATAGTGTTAGCTCTAGATACAATTATCACATCACAAATCTTTTGCAAACCTTCATTTCTCTACAGCTGGAAGAGCTTGAAACTTATTTACCTTGACCATACGAGCAAAATATTCACCACCAATGTAGTTCTCAGTTTTCAAATACAAGTCCCTCAGCTCACTGGCACCGACTGGATTGTACTTGGAATTGAATTTGTCAAAGCGATGAAATGTTTGACGACCCTGGAGGAGGAAAAAACCCAAATAACCATAGTTTTAAGTACACACAATAGTTTATCAATTAAATTGCCTAGCAATAAAAGGCACAGAAAAGAAAAAGCCAACGCTAACTTACTTCAAACATGCAAAGTAATGCATGAGTTCAAATTCTGATTTAATAAGTTATCATGCAAAAACTGTAGAAACCAGAATTTCACACTTAGAAAACAGCTTTTTCTCATCTATTTTGTTATTTTAATAGACTTACTGCATGGACATCTAAAGAGTCTACAGTGAGGTCGTAAGGGTCCATGTGAAGGCTTTCGAAGACTTGCTTTAAAGTCATCTTCTTGCCTTTTTTCTCTGCAACAATCCTGTCAGGCTCCGTTTGATACGTGTGCTTAATAAACCTCAATAAGTGTTTCTGGTTCATGCAAGCAGCAGCATGGATATGAGTATCAACCTGAAATCAAAAGGTTATTCACGCTCATCATCCATATACATAAACTTAAATTAGCAAAGTATCTATGTCAGTAAGAACAATGACTAAAGCCTTCTAAAATATTCCTTAAGTAACAAATGGATTAGTGCCTAAGCAAGTCAAAATGTTTCAGAACCCTGACATTTTGGTTTTGGAGGAATTATTCAATAAGCAGAACTATAAATAAAATAGCCCTCAATTAATAGTTTCCTATTTAAATAAGAAAATTTTCAACAAGTTAAGATGCATTATAAGTGCCAGTCACAGACCTGGGTTCAGATTAAATTTGATACTTCCTTAAAGGACAGTCTGATCCTTTAGTATCCTTTTATTTCATCCATTAATCGATGATGTCTTTCTAGTTATAGGCTGTAGTTATAACCATCCTCTCTGACTAAAAGGACCTGGAATTCTCAGCCATTGCCAAAAGCATAATTCATTTTTGTATTTCAACCACATGAAACATCTTAGGTCACCAGAACTACAAAATGTACACGTGAGAGATTTTGTCACTATTTTTTCGAAGTTTAATTATAACACAGCAACTCATAATGCTGACAGATTTTTCAGCTTCTTCAGTCTCTTCACACACTAAGGGAAGTGCAAGCTTCACAGAAGGGCTGAGAGTACTCCTCCACTCTTGTGTCGAAGTCCCATTTAAAAAAAAAATTGACAAGAACCAAATGGCTTCCACAGGTATGATTTTCTTTTGCTCAGAAGCTTGCACTGTTATTTGAGCAGCCTATGTCAGGACACAAACCAAAGAAACAACTGATGAGATTTGGGGGTTTGTTTGTTGATTTAAGTTTTCCCTTCAGTATGCGTAATTCCTTAGGTGCCTCCAGCAGGTATGTAAAACGGATCCATTGCAATTCCTTGCAGTCAAGGGTTTATTATCTTAACCACACCAATAAAGAATAGAAGAAAACCAGGTATATTCCCCAGCTGCTTCTTGTTTGAAGAGGCACGTGATACTAATTGCAGTTCCTAAGGACCAAGTACCTGGAAGGGAAGAATAGGCCTTAGCTAGGACAATGGCCTTAAGGAATCTAACAGCAAAGCGATATCCAGTGTGTGGAGCAGCAGAGCTGCTGCTCTAGGGTCCATTGGCTTTGAATTTCCTTGAGAAATTCTGATTGAACAATAAAACAGCCTAATGCATGTCCTCAGCAAGACAATGAAATTACTCTACCAACAAATTCCTATCAATTTAAAACCAAACCACTGTTCTGATTAGACTTCACAGTTGACACATAATAAGCACAACGGCCCTGGGGACAGCTTGACAGACTCTGAAATTGCCTTCAAGACCAGACTGCCAAATCCTAGCAGAAGCAGTGTCAGCTCACCCAGAAGCCGCAGTGCTGCAGCCTGTCTGCTAAGCTTCCCATTCTCCTCCAGCCCAGGCCCTACCTGGACATAGATGGCTGTGAGCACAGGGATGTGATCAGAAGCAATCACCAGCTGTCACTATTTCTAGTATCTGCCTTGTGCACCAACTGCCTGGTACTGGAGACAAGTCCTACAAGACCAACTGGCAGAATGGTTCTGCAGAAGGAGTAGGAAGCAAGATAGTTTGTAATACAAGTTTCAAGATGATATATAACAGGGACAGGATGGTTCAGATAATACGTCTAAAAAGCATCACACAGTACTGTCCTATATATTGGCAGGAGATGGTTTGGAATCATTGTAAGTTAACACTTTACCATGAAGTTTTATGTGAAACTGTAGTGGAAAGGGCTGCCCTAACTCCTCATACAGAGTAAGAAAGGAGCTTCAAAGCAGAAATAAAAAATAATCTTGCTTCTGCACAACACTCGTAATGCAGCCGTCAGAATGCACCCAGTTTTGCTGTTTACATTTAAAGGTTTAAAAAACCCAAATACTGACATTCCCAAGAAATGTCACAAAAGGAAATGGGAGCTGGAAAACCCACACTGCCACCTGATTGTAAAAATGAAATTTATTTGGCTTTCAAAGTGCAACTTGAGAGTTAATTTGATCAACTGTATGCCAGTATTTGTACATCCAAAAGAGACCATGAGGCAGAGAGGAGGCTTTTCAATCTCACAAGCAATGACATAACAAGATCCAAAGGTTGGATGCTGACATTAGATACAAGTTCCTAAAGATACTACATTGGAACAGTTTGAACCCACTGCGCTGTGCTTTTTAAAATGCAAGTAACTAGCATTCGCAGGGACACAGTCCCAACAAGAGCCAAGTAGCCTGGGTGCAGGAAGTCACACTAGAAGGAATTCTCAGACAAACCAGCTATAAGGAGTCACTGAACCTACACCTCTGCAAGGACTCTCATCCAGGACTCTTCTGTCCAGGAAACTGCAAACATGGACACGTACAACGTGAGACCAGTGCGTTCCCCTTTGCGTAGTGACTATGTCTGCAGCTTTCAGATTCCACCAACAGAAGTAGTTGACATCCTGATCTGCTTTTAAGGATAAGTAGGAAACAGATCACGGAGCACCTGAATAAGTAACAGCCATACTCCTGCAATGTAAACCTCAGCTTATGCTATGACATACAGTCCACAGAAATGCCACTGTTTTACTTGGCACATGTAGTCATTTAATTTGCAGTTTATACATACAGAAGTTGTTGCAGTTTTCTAAGGGTAAATCTATCTCCATGTGAATGTTAATAGCATAACTAAAGACCAGGATATAAACTGAATCCTAAACATTAACATTTAATTGTTAATCACTGCATAGTTCAAATATGCTAGACACCTTAAAGCTGAATGAAAAAGCAAGAAACATATTACTGTCTCGAAGTACATTACTAATGCACAGTAAACAACGCTGTGTCTAAAATAGTAAAAACAGCTCTACTTAACATATTATTACACTCCTCAGAGTACTTGTATAGACATTTGAACCCAAATGCATTATATATATGCTTACTCAGGTTAATTAAAAGTCTTCTTTTTTAGAAACAAATACTGTTTACTACAAACTACTAGGCTTGGTCAATTTACATGGGAGAATGAAATAAGTTAATAGATGCCCTATAAGCTCTAAACATTCAGGAAAAGCAAGTCATAAGCATAGAATACTAGGTGTAGGAAACCTGAATAAGTGTAATTTATTGAATTTCAGAATGCACTAGTTCCAGCGGTGGCTCAGCTACTGGAATTAATGAGTCTTGAAAACAAACAAAACAAAACACTTCCTCTGTATTTAAATCAACATGAATTCACTACTGTTAGGAGTGCAAGGACGGGAAGGAAGGAGACATTTTGTTTCTTTTGTTTGCTCGTATGCGAGGATCACATGACACAGTAGTAACTGCATTTCTTTTAAAGTCCTGCTTCCCTTTCAGAAATAATTCTCTGAAGTGTGCCTCTGCAATTCAGTAAGCTCCTGTGAAATCTTCTCCAGTCCCCACAAGCATATCACACATAGCTTTATAGCTGAGCTAACCACGTCAGGCTTATTCTCTGAGAACCAAGATTTTCCTTTTTTTTTCCCCCTCCTCCCTCTCCCTAAATATATTTATTTCTCAAGAGTAAAAAGACTTTCCTGGAGTCTCTTTCATGCTTTTTCCAGAGAATATGCAGTACTTTGGCTACCTTTGTTAACCACCTGGTATATTTTGACCTTTAGGTAAGCAGCAACTTCAGTAACAACAGAAGTCTTACAGATAATCACACAGCTTTCTCTTCACTGTTTTTTTAGAAGCAATGCAACTTTTTGGAAGGTTTTAATGACTTGAGCTTTGGCCTACCTTAGCACATAATTAGTGTGTATGCTTTTGTGTATTTTCACAACTCAGGGAACAAGCCTACCTAAATGAAGATTCTAAACACAGAATCCTTAGACATAGCTTATATGGTCTGATTTGGTTAGGGTTTTTTTTTTAATTATTATTATTATTACTTTCATTTAAAATGTTATCATGCTAAGAAATTGTTAATAATTTCATTGTTATTTATTATGAAAGGCATATACTAAAAGAATTTGAACCGACAGAGTTCATACAAGGGTGACAAATGCCCCCTTTGCCTCCTCCCTCCCCTCAAAAAAGACAAAAACAGTCCCATTTTAAGCTGTTATTATTTTGTTCTTCATACAATACATGAAGTAAGCTGAGGCTTTTCTGGGCCATAAGTAACAAGCCCCTACCACAAGGTCTATTTGCTTCTATTTGCAAACATTCTGCTTGCATTTCCAAATTTGTTATAATGCCACTCCAGCCCAATATCCCCTTAGTGGAAAAAAACCTCGGCTGCATGCCCTTAGCCAAATTTCCTGCTGCAGTTCTTACTCTCCCCTCCCCCCAGGAGGAAACCTTTTACTCAAGGTCACATTAATCTTCAATGAAAAGAAGAAACACAATGACTGACAGAAGCCTATCTTGGAACACATAACATGCCTTCAATGAACTCACCTTTTTAACAAATGAAAACAATTGTTAACGCAAAGGTTTCCCTAATTCTTTTAATTCCATCATCTCATTCAGCAATGGTGGACATCAGTTTTCTTGCAATTAAAGGATGGTAGAATTCCCTTCACTCAGCAATTCTCCATGTAATGAAGCCAGCCTGTCTTCCTCTGCACCTTCTCAGTTCAGGCTAGCCCTTTTTTTTCCTTATTGACCTGACCACCCATGCCATTCTGTCTGCAGGCTTTGTGGATAAAATGCTTGTACTTCTCAGTCAAGATGGTTACATCTGTGTACAACTTACAGCTTGAAGGAGTTCCTATTGCCCTCCAAATCACATCTCACCAGCACCAACTTCCCTAAACCACTCTGCCTCCCTCATCTTCTTGCATTGCTTCTCTTTCCTTCCACTGTCTCTCAAATCTCCACAAAACATCCATCTCAGGTCTATTTTATGGATGCTTATCTGTGTGTATCAGAAATAGAGTGTTGCACTGAATTAGGCATATGCTCTAGATTCAGAGCAGTAAGCGATAAATACAGCAAAAACAAATGCCAAGGGCAGCCCTTTTAATGAT